TTTATGTTTATTGAGCTTACAGTAGATGTTCTTTCACTTTTGTTTAAAATGTCTTTTGGGTGGGTTAATTTCTAATATTTTCTAGTACTTGGTTCCAGTCACTAGTCCTAAGATTTGCATATTTCTTGTCCCGGTTTCTGTATTCGATATTTTTATATTTAAGGAGTTATTTTGCCTTGTAAGGGCACCTCTTATTTTACCTGTTGTCTGTGTAGGTAATAGCTAACTTGGGCAATTTCCTTGTATGATTTTATGGATTAGAATACAGGTGTCACAGTTGCATTTCTGTTGTATTTTTTGCCATTTTGATTTGCTCATATGTGGTGTGATGTGGTCTTATTTATTTACATTTCCTAGTGCTGCTCTTGCTGCGAAGCTCTGTAGTTTTAGTGTCCTTTCTATTTGTGTTTTGTTTGTGGAGGCCCAGATGTTTAGACTGTAACCGATGATACAAAGTGCTAGTGTTTGTGTAACAACAATTCTTGCCTCTGTAGATATTTTGTTTTTGATGTGATTTAACCCATTGTCGACGTACATGCCATGCACACTGTGAGTTTACTTGTTTAATTGTTTTTACAAATAGATGGCTACACTTGTACTAAGACACCAGTAAGCCAGTTATGAGTACTGCCGGTCTCGCCCGTTCACCCTTTTCATTGATTTACGAACATATGATGTTATTATCGTATATATCTATCTTATATATCTTATTTTGCTGTTACTAATGTTTATAACACTATAGTAATTATAATGTTTATAATAAAAATAACACCATCGGTATTCAAAACACTAGTAAAAAAATACGTTTTTCCCGTCAATACAAGGAAAGATCTACTAATTGACTCCTTCGTGGCTAAGCACTAGTAGAGCCATCTATGTACAGAGACATTTCACAAAAATATAAAGAATGAGCACAGCATTTTTCCCATTTCTTATTAATTTCTTATTATTTTGTTCTGACGGCTGCCCATGAAAATACATTATTTTTGTGGATTTAGTTTCAGGCCATTCATATCGAAATACTGTTTCGCTTCTGTTAGGGTCTATTATGTGTCCTTATCAGTTCATTTAGATTTATTACAGAGTCAGCGTGAAGAAATTGAGAGTCGGCGGCGCACTGCACACAAGGTTTTTTGCAATGGACGAAAGATCATTAATGAATATAATTGATATGATTGGGCCTAGGATGGAGCCTGGTGGAACACCGAACGAAACGTGTTGGTTTGATGATACTTTTTCATGGATTTTCACTGATCGAGTTCTCCCGGACAGGTAATTTTTGAACCAAAAGTGATCAATTTCGTAATTTCTTGGCTGACACTGCCAAAGGCCTTCGATAAGTCGCACTGAGTGAGCAAATTTATCTGGCTATTTATATTATAAATTTAACTATTGACTTTTGATAGTTTACTACTGAAACCGTGTTATTCGCTGGTTGGTGTTAAATCTGTTTATCTTGAGAGTTTTGTTAGTATCACATCACATGAAATATATATCAACATGAAAGTTTGGAATGTTAATGGAATGACTTTACTAATACACAACATATCAATATTTCTCTCCTTAATTATCAATTCTTCGAAGTGACCGAGGTGAGACTGTGCACTGGTGTGCTCTATTCTTATAGGCGTCTTCTGTATGCATTATAAAAGTTAATTCCGGATTAAAATCTAGCCGAATTCCACAGTACTTCTGCTGTTTTATATGAAAGAGCGAGTATCTGTATAAGTTTCATATCATATGCTAATGTTGATAACGAAACTTTTGCTACTGAGAAAAAAAATATATATATATACATATATACGCTAAAATTATATTAAGTCGATACATATATATGTCAGTACAAATAAGAGCCAACAAATTTTATAAGCAACTGAAATGAAGGTTTCAAATATCAAATTATAATCGCGGAAGTATTTTTCCGCGATTATAGCTTTTCATCGCTCTACCCAAGAAGCCAGGAGCAACAGAATGTGAAAACCATCGGACCATAAGCCTGATGAGTCAAGTGACAAAAATACTCCTGAAGATTATCACCAATAGAGTCAAAATTAAGCCGGAGATTACTGAAGAACAATGCGGTTTTGTGGAAGGAAAGGGCACGGCCAATGCTATATATATATTCTGAGAAACATCATTGAAAGGTCACTGGAAGTACAGAAAAACATCTACATGTGCTTTATAGATTATACTAAAGCATTCGACAAAGTAAGACACGATGAAATCATTAACCTCCTAGAGCAACTGCACATAGACGGAAAAGACCTCCGTATCATCAAGAACATATATTGGGAACAGACAGCAGCTATGAGGGTCGACAACGAGATCGGAGAGTACCAGAAGATCAGACGAGGGGTACGCCAAGGATGTGTCTTATCACCAGACCTGTTTTCAATATATAGTGAAATTATAATGCGCAGTTTGGAATGCTTAAATGGAATTAAGATAGGTGGTAACAACATCAACAACTTACGGTACGCTGATGATACAGTCCTACTGA